GGAGGGAAGGAGAAGAAAGAGGGAGCGAGGGAGGAAAGAAGAAGGAAGAAGGGAAGGAAGGAGAAGAAAGAGGGAACGAGAGAGAAGAGGAAGCAAGAAGGGAAGGAAGGAAGGAGAAGAAGAAGAAGAAGAAGAAGAAGAAGAAGAAGAAGAAGAAGAAGAAGAAGAAGAAGAAGAAGAAGAAGAAGAAGAAGAAGAAGAAGAAGAAGAAGGAAGAAAGAAAGATTTTCCATGTTCACTGCAATCTTCCCACAAGGAAACTCAATCGGGAAGTTCTACTGATTTTTATTTTTGTCCCATCATGGTCATTCTGTTTCTTCTGTTTAGGTAAAGAAATATCCCTGAAACAACGACCCAACAGGTCATGGGTTGTCCAGGAGGATATAATAACACTTTTTGTAAATTAGAGTGTGCCCACTCTTTTCTGTACCTCAAAGAGCTGTTTACTCGACCCATCTGCACACAAGCACGTAGTTATTTATTTTTGGTTGTGTTTCTGTGTCCTTGGTAAGACCTAGAACTTTTGCTGCTGCCTTTGTTTGTTGACCATTAATTGGTAACCGATTAGATCTTTTTACTGTTTTCTCCCTAATGGCCGCTGTTTTAATTATCTGATCCTTTTCTTGCTTTCACTTACAGCCGGGGTCATATAAAAAGGGAGCCACTTATTCAAAGCCATTAAAACATGGTTTGTAATCTTTGGCCAACAAGCAAACCGTTATCTAACAGGAAGCAATTTACCCCTCCATTCTTTTGAAGTTGTTTTTCCCCCGACTTCTTTCCAAGTTCTTAGTTGTAATTAGCTTCCCTTTCCTAACTGGGGACTGAATTTGACTCTGCTTAACCTTTTGGAGCGAAGTCAAAGTCAATTAGATGTTGCCACAGAGGGCAACGTGTCTTTTGTTCTTAAGCAGCTGATAAAAAGACATCCAGGTATGATGAGAGGAAAAAAATGTTCCCATGTTGAAAAGATGCCACAGATCAAACATTTGTCACGTTGATCTGTCCGAGCAGATATTTCTGCCGTCAACAACAAGAAGGTTTAATGTTACTCCTGAGCCAATGTTAACAATAATATGAGGGCCCTGGCAGGAATTGAGGAGAGGAAGAGAAAAAGAAAGCAGACTTAAATGGCAAGAAATGATTTCAGAGCAATGAGAGGGCCAGGAGCTTTGCATGTCCAAGAAATCTTGGAAGGAATGGAATGCACCACACAGGGCTCCAAAGGTTCTCAAATGCTAACTGTCCACAAACAAAGCCCAGCTCTGAATGCCACAGGCCTAGCCTCTCAAAAGAGGGGCGGGTCGTGCACCTGCCTCGCTCATGTGCGTCATGGGCAGCACATGGCAGAGGCTGGGAAAGTCACATTTGTGTCTGTAATGCCAGCATGTGGGATTGTCCTGGGGGACAGAGGTCAGAAGAGGCTAAAAGATGCAGTGGTCGCCCCCCTCTCCTGTCCTCAGTGACCCCCTGCTTTCTGAACATCTGTCTTCTAACACAAGAAGGTAACAGAGAATGGATAATCAGAATTGGAAGGAACCTTGAAGGTCATCTAGTCCAACCCCCCACCCAAGCGGGAGACCCTACACCATTTGTGACAAATGGCTGTCCAGTCTCTTCTTAAAACTTTCCAGTGATGAAGCTCTCAGAACTTCTGAAGCCAAGCCATTCTGATTAATTGTTCTCACTGTCAGAAAATTTCTCCTTATTTCCAGGTTGAATCTCTCCTTGTTCAGTTTCTATCCATTATTCCTTGTCTGGCCTTCAGGGATTTTAG